ACTCAGGAGACTGAGGCACGAGAATCACTTGAACTCGGGAAGCAGAGGCTGCAGTGAGCCGAGATTCACGCCATTGCACTCCAGGCTGGGTGACAGAACACAACTGTGTCTCAAAAGTAATAATAATATTAATAATAATAAGTATGATTTGGGTCTGGTTAGATTAGAAAGAATTCATAGGAGCACCCTAGAGAAGAGAGTGGAATCCCTACCTGAAACAAAAGGCTGACTCAAACCTGAGATGGTTCCTCAATCCACCTGAAGTGGTCCCTGAGTCTTCCATTAGCAGCACTTTACTCTGCATTTCTGAGAATGGCAAAGGGAAGAGTCTGTTTTGTAAAAGACTTCTGGTTGCAATTAGATTCTCTATTCAGGCTAGGTACAAGATTCAGTTTGAGCAGGGCCTGTAGTTTTCCTTCCCTCTTCAAACTGGGTGCAATCAAAAACCCAAAAACAGAAGAGATCAATTACAAAAGCAACAGTAGCCTTATTTGGGCCATTTCATTAAATGTTTATGTTTTTACTTATCTCTTTAATTCGCATTTTGGAAATCCAGTAAAACTCATTTGAAAATTATTGAAAGTGAGATTTTTTTTAATATTGAAAACTTTTTTTAAAATGTTGAAAGTGGTACATTTTTCTTTGTATAATTTTTTTAATGGGGTCTTCTCTGTAGGTGTGTAATTTTCATGCCACCTACAAAGAAATAAGTATGCATATACTGATAGTACTTGTTTACATGCATATGGAAATTGCATTTTTTCAAAACTTTGTGGTGCTTTTTCCCTAATTTTGTTAATCCAGAACTCTTACAGAAAAAAAAATATATTTTATTACATGATCCCATATCATCATATACATCTCAGAAGCTGATTTTACTTCCTCAGGTATCTGGACCATCTGTTCTGCCCTTGCCAGGGAAGACTTTCATATCCTTTATCTGCCACTGCCAAAATGCTATGTTTTTCCTCCTCAACAGAGGAGAAAATATGTGTATTGTTTGTCAATAACATACAGAATGAGGCTTGACTCAAGGAATGTCACTGGAAAGGGAATGGAAGAGAATACCATTATACCCTTTTTTAGAATGATTAAGGAAAATATGTCTTCCTACCTTTGTGAATCATTTGATTTCTGAGAGCTTCTAGGAGGAAGGCCTCATAGACTTGTAGTTGAAGATGACTTTATTACAGTCATGCACTGCATGACTACACTTTGGTCAAAAATAGACCACATATACGACGGTAGTTCAGTAAGATTATAATATCTTGTTTTTACTGTATCTTTTCTATGTTTAGATATACAGATCCTTACCATTGTGTTACAGCTGCCTACAGTATTCAGTCGTGCTGTACAGGTTTGTAGCCTGGGAGCAATAGGCTAGACCATAGAGCCTATGTATATAGCCGGCAGTATCATCTAGGATTGTGTGAGTATCTTCCATGATTTCACACAGTGATGAAGTCACCTAACAATGGATTTCTCAAAATGTAGCCCTGTCATTAAGCCACACATGACTGTACTTTCTCTTTTACTCCCTTTCCCTCAATCTATTAATTCTGCTAATTTGGGAAACCCATCTCCTAAATGACTTAATCCTCTGCTGAACTTCTTTAACCTCTCTAGGGCCCAGTCATACAAATGCCAGTAATGGAATTCGTCTTTCTAATTCCCTAGCCATTAACTTTACTGTTAGCCAAAATCCCTGTTACCTTAACGTCAGCTTGCTTTACATTTCCTCAAAGGACATGCCATTTTAAAAACATAAAGGCAGCCTGCATTATTTTAAAAGGGCATGGAAAGGGTTTTTTCTCTAGAAGAGATTGAGGGAATGTTTTCAAAAGCCATCTATTTTTATTCAGATGTAGCCAACTGCTAAGTTAAATACACAGCCAAAGTTTAATGCAGTCTTTGAACTTCCCCTACATGCCCACATTTAAGAAGAGCATATTTCATTTGCTAAAACATTATTTTAAATGAAATTGAATTTTGAAAACATTATTTCTAGTTCACCTGCTTTTTAAAAATGTTGACTCCCTGGCCGGGCGCGGTGGCTCATGCCTGTAATCCCAGCACTTTGGAAGGCTGAGGCAGGCAGATCATGAGGTCAGGAGCTCAAGACCAGCCTGGTCAACATAGTGAAACCCATCGCTACTAAAAATACAAAAAAATCAGCCAGGCATGGTGGCGGGCACCTGTAATCCCAACTACTAGGGAGGCTGAGGCAAGGGGAATCGCTTGAACCTGGGAGGCAGAGGTTGCAGTGAGCCGAGATCGCACCACTGCACTCCAGCCCGGGTGACGGTATGAGACTCCATCTCAAAAAAAAAAAGTTCCCTTTGAGTATAATCTATGACCATTGTATGAAAATATATTTTTCTACTTAATTACTCTGTTTAGTCTTCAAAAACATTTTTTAAGTGATTGAATTAGGTGCAATATTATGTAATGCCAGTTAAACACAATTGCAAAAATATCTGAGTTCTTTACTGAAAAAGAAAAACAGTATTTGTTTCTTTGGGATTCAGATTCTTATTCTAAATATAATATTCTACAGGTCTGTGGCATTTACTTCCAATAACTAGTAGCCCTTTCTCAATACCTTTCAATCCTTGCCCCAGCGTCCTTCAATGGAGAGCAGCTGTCAGTTGATACTGGCTAGGTTTGCCAAGCTAGGACCACAGGTTTGCTTACCTTACAATGTGTATCATTTACAGTTTGTCCCTAAATATTCCCGTTAACTGGCTAAATTTCTCAGGTTGTTTTCTGAGCAAAAAAAAACACAACAAAACAAAAAACCAAAAACCACTATTGGCTTAAGATTTTATTAACTCATTATTTAGAGTTTTCACTAGATTATAAATTAAACTACAGTTGATAGGAGTGTGTCTCTCTGTGTGTGTGTGTGTGTGTGTGTATGCATACGCATGTGTTTTCATTACCATTTTTTTAAACCCAAAGCTATACTTGGCACAGAATAAGAGATCAAAAATATATGTTGAATGATTGACTGCCTATTATTGAAGGCAGCTTTATTCTATTTATATATGCTGGGGATGTAGGGGACAATGTGAAGCAAAAAATAAGCACAGGCCTGCCCTCAGGGAGCTTATCTGAGGACAATCTAACAGTAATTGATCATAAAAACACACTTCAAATTTCAAATGTGACAGTGCAGAGGTATAGTGCTGTCAGGGTCTAGATGAGAGGGATCCTGTTGGATACATCTAGGAAGGGCTCCCTGAATAAATGATTTGAGCTGAAGTCAAAGGATGAATACCTAAGAACCAGAAGAAGAGGAGAGGAAAGTTCCATCATGTTTAGTTCACCTCAGTTCAGTTCTTTTCCTCTCAGTCTCCTGTTTTTCCTTGGTATTTATCACTAAAGACTCTTTCTATTTTTGCCTGCTGCCTTAGTTTGCTAGCTACTCGTGGACTTCTGCATAAATCTCAATGATATAGGTCTCCTTTTAGGAAACAGCCAAAACTTACCCTTCTGATAAAAATGTCAGTATTATTTTAGACATGAAGGACAAACTATCAAAGAGAAAAATGAATTGACAAGGAAAACATCTTTTCTGCTAATTACTTTAACTGCTGTGTGTTTAGAGAAGTGCCACATGGTAAACACTTAGTGATTCTGATTGACTGGATGGTTGGTTGACTGATTAGCTGGCTAGCCAGATGTTGGATGGATGGCTGACTGGCTGGTCAGATGTTAGATGGTTGGCTGACTGGCTGATTGGTTGATCGGGTGGTTTTGTAAATGAAGGTGAGGGTGATAGATGAGCTTTGATTTTAAAGTCAAACTTAATTTTATTCAGATTCTGACTTACCTTTCACTAATTCTATGATATTGGACAATTTACTTAAGCTCTGTAAGCCTCAGTTAATTCTATTAAATAGTGTTTTTCTCATAGTTATTATAATACCAAAGGTGATAATGCATATATAGCTTTAATATGGCACCTAGGATATATTAACTGTTCACTAATACATGTTCACTATTTTAAAGAAAAGCAAGAAGCTTGAGTGCTTTTTCCAAAAGGAACAAAATTAGTGAAAGCAAATGATTAGTCTGTGTTTAAATGTTAACCCTCTTAATCTTAGTCCTTCTAATGTTTTACTACTACAGATACACATCTATTGCAGACCAGAGATAGATATACCTAAGAAGATAAAACATGTAGAAAACTCACATGCACATGAACAATTTTTTTTCTTGACTGATTAAAGTTTAATTTACTCACCACCCTATCCTTCTCCCAGTTTTCCTCATCACCCTCTGATTGCATTATTGCAGGGCTCATTAAGATGGTAATTTTCTCTGCCAAAAATGGGAAGAGAGTGATATATTATTTCTTGACATGGATCGTTGTGGTTACTCCGGTGTTTGCTTTATAATTATTTGCTAAACTGAACGTTATGTTTTATGTATTTTTCTATATGCACCCTCACACTTAAACATGCATAAAGGAGGTAAAATTGCCATGTGAGAACGTGATGGAATAGAACAGACCAAAGTTAAACCAATGTTATGCCTATATGAGCAGATTGGAAGGAATATCCAAGCAATGAATCCTGATTATCAAAAAGAGGAGATTAAATTTATTCCAGCTACTCCAGATTGACTATCTCTGTGTCACAAATTGAGTGGCTAGAGTGACAAATTACTAAACTCCTTTTTTCTTTTTTTTTTGGCTAGTATATGCACATATAACCTGCACTGTAGAACTATAGGGCAGGGTCTTTGTCACATGCCACTTGCTTAACACTAGGCATGAAGAACTTCTCTCTATGGCAAAACTCTTTTATAGACCTCAACTGGTAGAGCCCCCTTGCACAAATGCCACTACCCCATCTTTTCTAGTCATCATTGTTTGCATTCATGCCACATGTGCATGATTTCAGAGCTAACTGCCCTGGTGTATTAAACAACATCAGAAATGAAGTCAAGAATTACAGATCTTTATTATTAACAAGCATGTTTTGGTTTTTCAGCGCCGACTGGGGGATGCAGCAAAGAAAGCCATCAGCAAACTCCAGGTCAGGACTATCAAGAAGGGTGACAAGGTAACAGCCTCTTTTCTTTTTGGTGAGGAGCTATTCAAAAAAGCTTCTAACTTTTCTTACAGCCAGGGTGGAAGAGAGGAAAGGATGGCAAAGGGAAATATATGCTAACAGTTGTCCTATCAGTATATGTTATTATACTCTTCTTAATTAAACATAATTTAAAGTTTCTTATAAAATGCATATACTATGATAATAAAATAGTTGTATAGAAAATATGAGGGCTGGGCACGGTGGCTCAAGCCTGTAATCCCAGCACTTTGGGAGGCTGAGACGGGAGGATCACGAGGTCAGGAGATGGAGACCATCCTGGCTAACATGGTGAAACCCTGTCTCTACTAAAAACTACAAAAAAAAAACTAGCCGGGCGCGGTAGCGGGTGCCTGTAGTCCCAGCTACTCAGGAGACTGAGGCAGGAGAATGGCGTAAACCTGGGAGGCAGAGTTTGCAGTGAGCTGAGATCCGGCCACTGCACTCCAGCCTGGGCGACAGAGCGAGACTCCATCCCAAAAAAAAAAAAAAAAAACTGATAAGTGTATAAAAAAATAGATGAAGCCAGAATGAAATTAGTACACAAATGGATTATCTAAAATGTGTAATAGAAATGGGTCTCAAAATTAAGTTGGGGCTTTCTAGCAGCCAGTGCAAAGGAAACAATATTCAGTATTCAAGTAATATTTCATGAGTTTATTCCAGTGTCCCACAAGATAAAATCAAAATGGTTGTTCCTGATGTTATGACCTGAGAAAGTTTTTCATGAATCTTTGCAAGCAAGACAGCTTTCTGTGCTGAGCTATGTTCTCCACTCAAGTCTACAGTATAAATGCAGGAAGTATATTCAATCCCTCTGAAATCCAGTATTCAGAACCCCAAGGTTGACAGGTGGTGTGGCTCATGCCTATAATTCCAGCACTTTGGGAGGCCAAGGTAGGTAGATCACTTGAGGCCAGGAGTTCAAGACCAGCCTGGACAATGCAGCAAGACCCTGTCTCTATAAAAATTTTTAAAAAACCAAAACACAGAGCCCCGAATTCATTTCAATAGTCTCCTTCACTGTAGAATGGTATCATAAAGCCAGAAGCAATAGTATATCTTGAGGAGGAAAAACAAAGCAGGCCTGCCCAGGTGTACGGGCTTCTAAGGGTCTTCCTTATTCCCTAGGCCAAGTTAGAGCAATGGATTACAATACATGGGTTTGGAGCTCCTTGGGGCAATGTAAGGGATTTACAACTCCACATATAAGCAGGTATTGTCTCTATTCTGAATAATTGATTTATCTCACAAATTATGTGCTATTATTTTTCAAGTCTATAAAAACGCCACTGGGCTTATAAGATAAAATTTATTTAAAGGCATTACTAAATTTAAAGTATATTTTAGTCAGTATGTTATTTCCCCTCAATCAGAGAGTAATAAAAGGACAAGGACTATTACATAAGCACTATCTTATGAGGCATCAAAAGAGGTTTATATACTTGAAAAAAATTGGAACTACCATTTTGTGTTAATATTTATTTTATACACTAGATTCCAGAAGAATGGATAGATTAAATAGCATTCAGGTGATTCACCATAAGCATTATTTCTCATCCTGAAAATTTAGATATCTTGCCTCTAATTATAATTAATAGCATTTTTAGTAATGTACTTTAGAAAATGGTTTTCCTCACAAAAGCACTTGAAGCGGAACCTAGAAACAAAAAGTAGAGGTTGGAAGGAATGGAAACTAGTCCAAATGATGGTAAATTTGATTTAAAAACTGGCACCAGCACTACCGAAAGCTTTGCTCCAGGCAAGCTCTCCTTGGGTTTTGGCTTGGATATTTACACAAGAGATGAAGCTAAGAAAACAGGCTCATCTGTGCTTCCTCTGTTGCAGGAAACAGAGTCCGATTTTGACAACTGTGCAGTTTGTATTGAAGGGTACAAGCCCAATGACGTTGTCCGGATCCTGCCCTGCCGGTGAGTCACTAGGCTGCCTGCTTTTGATTGGGTTGTGTGTGTGGAGCATGCCTGCGTGGCCTCCCTGGCCCAGACCTGCCGGGCATAGTGCTGCCAGGTCAATCTGCCTCAGCATTTCCATGTTTCCATTGCAGACAACCCAGACATTCTTGTTTTTGTATAACCTTTGTCCTTGAAAACACTGTGTCATGAAATGTGTTTCTGATCCCCTATCCCCTTTGCATCAAAGGAAGTATACTGCTATGAACTAGAACTTCATGATACAGAAATTTATGATGTGGCCACCAAGTACAAGTTTTCTTGAACAACAGATCTTTGATATTCAGAATCAATTCTGGCTTTTACCAGTACTATTTTAATTAAAATAATAAAAAATTAATTAAAATCTGAAAAAATTTTTGTGAATTATCATGAACAGTGTGGTAATTAGAATATGGTCAGAAGTAAGTAGGAAGCCAAGGACAGATACCGTGCCCTTTCTTTTCTTTTTTTTTTTTTTAACTAACAGAAAGAGAACGTGACACTCAAATTCCCACAAAATTCTTGCATCTAGGGGAGGATGCCAGGCATGGATAGTTGGGGAAACTCCCCAGGTGATTCTCATATAACCCTATTCCCTCTCCCTAATTGAAATTCACGAGAAGTTGTCTGAATTTTTAAATTGTTAAAATTAAATAAATTTAAATACTTAAATCTTTTAAAAGTCACATAAAATCCATCCTCCTTCACTGATAACCTTTTTTAGTGTTTTTTTTTTCATCTGTGTAAATGTCCCAAAAATAAAAATGAAATTATGCCTTAGTGGGAGATTCTTCATTTAGAAAGACTGGCTTTCAATATTCTTAGATACTTTAGGCCAGGCACGGTGGCTCACACCTGTCATCCTAGTGCTTTGAGAGGCCAAGACAGGAGGATTGCTTGAGACCACGATTTCAAGAACAGCCTGGGCAATAAAGCAAGACTCTGTCTCTACAAAAAAAAAAGTAAAAATTAGCTGAACATGGTGGTGCTTGGGACATGGTGGCACTCGCCTATAATCCTGGCTACTCAGGAGGGTGAGGTGGGAGGATCCCTTAAGCCCAGGAGTTCAAGGTTATACCGAGCAATGATCATACCACTACACTCCAGTGATCACACCAGTGCACTGGGCGACAGCAAGACCTTGTCTCAAAAAAAAAAACAGTTCTTAGAGACTTTAAAAGTAAAGTAGGAAAACATATACCACAAAGATATAAGACAATTTACATATTCATAAAGCAATGCAAACTTAAGGACTGTTTACTAGAACTACAAAAGAAACAAAAATTACTTTAGAGGAATGGCTTAATAATCCCAAAATGACAAAGAATGGACCAAAAAAGAAGTGACAGGATACTAAAATTGATGCATAAACTCCCAAGGGAAACAGACCTTGGTTGAAATGTGCATAGGCAAATTGATCATTAGGAAAACAGGCGTTAGGGAAGTACATCCTGGTGGCCCCAGCCAAAGCCTTCAATTGTGATTCACTTTCCCTTAGTTTGTAGACACCTTTCTCTGAGACGAAATCATCAACAGAGATAACTGAAGATTTGGTAGTTTCCTTCATATGAGGATTTGCTATGTAAGTTCTTTCTAGTTATTACATACACTTAGTGTTTACTCAGTGATTTCCAGAAACACGGGCAGACAAATGCAGTATGTGAACTACAGAATGCCTCTTGGAGCAACATCTTGTATCTCTGCAGTATTTTATTAAAGGTTTTATAGAGCGTCTTAGGCCGGGCGCGGTGGCTCACACTTGTAATCCCAGCACTTTGGGAGGTCGAGGCAGGCGGATCACTAGGTCAGGAGATCAAGACCATCCTGGCAAACATGGTGAAACCCCGTCTGTACTAAAAAAAAAATACAAAAAATTAGCCAGGCGTGGTGGTGGGCACCTGTAGTCCCAGCTACTCAGGAGGCTGAGGCAGGAAAATGGCATGAACCCAGGGGGGCGGAGCTTGCAGTGCGCGGACATCATGCCACTGCACTCCAGCCTGGGTGACAAAGCAAGACTCTGTCTCAAAAAAATAAATTAATTAAAAATAATAATAATAAAGCCTCTTAGATATAAGCAAATAAAGTGCTTTCCTTTATCTTTTTCTTGAAGATTATTTAGAGCCCTATGTGATTACTACTAATAAAAAAAATTCAGAGCCGATTAAAGTTAAATATCTGCATTCTTCTGAAAAATCCAAAGATTTTACAAATGTAAATTAAGAAAATCTGTTTTAAAAATTATATACATAGTATTACTTTAGCTCTACAATTCATACAGTATAAAATAGTTTATTCACTTAAAGCTCTCTCATAAATAAACTTCATGTTACTACATATATATCTATAACTGCTAGAGATTGCATAATATCCAAGTCATAGATGTACCACAATTTAATTTTCCATATCCTTATTTGGGAACATTTTTGGCTGAGTTCAATTTTTATTTATGACAGATTGCGTTGTTTTAACAGTGTTTAGATTTTCATGATGTATTATTCCAGATCTCCTTTTATATTGTAATTTTTTGGAAATATTAACCAAAAAATAGCATTTTAATATTAACCACAGAAAATAAAACCTTAGGGATTTTAATATACATTAGCCCTTGCTCTTGGCTAGTTTAGTTTGGCTTCAGGCTCCTCCTTGTTTAAATGATTATTTGATTCTTATCTCATTCCTTGATTTTGTTTCATGTTCCTTACTGTCCATCTACTATTATTTCCATACTAGGAACCCTGCTTTAAATAACAAAATGCATTTGAGCATTTTCAAATATAGCTACAGTTAATTACTGTTTGATCTTATACTAGTCACACATATCTATTCTGAATAGCTCATACATTTTTTCCTTGTAGATTTTAAAATCAAGGTATTTTTATGCTTGTTGCTGTTTTCTGCCAGACAGTTTGCACTAATGGATATTATCAAACAAATGCATTGGCGTTTGTTTTTTGCTACATAATTTTCTCTGGGGTATTATTAAGCCTTTGCTCCTATGAACTTCATAGACTCTCCTTCCCATTATCTCCAGGCTGATTCATCCACAGACTTCTTTGCATCTCCTTGGCATAAAAACTGTTTCAAAAAATGTTCCAGTTTATCATCTCCCTTCACTCACTTTTTTCTGTGGTCTCATAACTCCTGACATTCTTGGTGCATCTCTTCACTGTTGTTTTCATTTAGGATATCTTTCCAAATTATACTCTTGTGCCACAACTTTTTCAAAATCATTTTATTGCTTGTCTCTTTCTGAGACCCATGAACAAATTATGATGAATTATTAATAAATGCCTTCCTCTCTTTATTTGTCATAGCGATTACTAAAGTCATGCACATACACACCTACCATTTCTTCCCCTTCATCCTTTCTTCATCCAGTCCCTCTCTAGCATGTGAAGGTGAGGCCCCTGGGAGTGAGCCTGGATGTGTACATCTACCGTAAGGGACAAACCCCCCTCAGCCCACAAAGCAGCTCAGCCTCAGACAAGCCTAACTTCTGTGGTTTAGATTTGATCCTATACACCACTGGGACATTACTCGAGACACTTTGGTGTTGCTACCTCATACGTATGCCAAAATATGCATTATGCTATATTTTAGGGGTGGTTTTTGTATCTAAGGTTAGTATTTGTGATTATGATTTCTAGCCACAAAAGATGTTTCATTTTATTATCTTCTCTTGCACAGAGAGTAAGTTAGCCTCTCTGATTCTTCCATGGCTTTTATCTCATGGTGTCCCTACTGTTCTTCAGGGATTATTCATTTCAGCCTGTTGAGCTTCTCAATTTCAAACACAGTGTCTCAGAAAAAATATGAATTTCTTAGGCACGCCAGAAGTCCTTATTTGCCATTGTGTCAAACCAAAGCAACAGATACACTGTTTCCCTACATTCCTATGAAATTCTCTTCTATCTCTAATTTATCCCTATAGCATTATCACCAATTAGGGAAGATACTAGTTTCTACTACTGTTTTTTTCTTTGATTTTTGCAAACTCTCCTCCACAACAGATGAAAAATGTAAACCCTGTCTAGTAATACACTTTTAGTACCTAAATGCTTCATTTGGAACAAAAAACATTTTGTAGCAACTGTATGCCAGCAACAGTGGAAATCCCCAGCCATGAGAAGACAAATGGCATGATACATGCTCTAAAGGAAATAGGCTAGTGGGAGAGAAAGGAATTTAAATAAGCATTCATGATAGAGAATGGTATGTGTAACAATAATAACACAATGTATTAAAATTTTGGAGGAATTAATACCAGGCACAAGGAAGTTAAGAAAGATTCCACAGAAAAAAAAAAGCAATGTTTTCATATTTTCTAACAGTGGTTTATATTGTCCATTGCATCCTCATTCTAGAAAATTTGTAAAATGGGTAAATATTTAAATATCTGCCTAACTCCTTCATGCAGGTAACTACTGCTATCATTGTTATATATAATCTTCTTTTTGTTTCTTATGCTTATTTTGCAACTTTAAGATACTATTGTCAATATCATTTACTATTCTGTTCTTTTCACATACATTGTAAGAATGTGCTAGAAACGGTATTAGATTATTGGCGGTCTTTTTTAGATTATTTGTGGCTCATTTTGACTTTCCTTTGGCCTTTGATACTATTGACAGAAGCTGATTAAACCCTAAGGTGCATATACCGACCAAAGACCCTGGGATGTTGGTGCTTATATAAAACTCACTCTTCAAAGATCAGGGTCTTTTTCTGGCCCAATCAGAATTTTCTACTGAGATAAAACAGGGAGGTGTCCTGGCCCCCTTTAGCTTATTTTATAATATCCTTTGATGAGTTCTTTGCATGTCACCATCTCGCCGCACTACAGAAGACAGAGAAAAGCAGCTTCTCGTCTTTAAATAGTTAGTTTGATTATGTGGTGTGTAGGGGCAACATGTCCCGCTGGGTTATTATTGTCAGAGCTGGATTACAAACAAAATTCTCTAAAACTCATGTTATCATCT